AACAAACAAACTATTAATCTAGTTATGTTATTTCTTAATTAACCAAAATATACAAAATTTTGACAACCTACTTTAATATTAGAAACGTCTATATAACTTTTAAATAAATCCCAGATATTTCTATTAATCATCTAACATCTTGATACAGGAAAGTTTATAAAATTAAATTGTATGTCAGTATGGCAAAATTTAACCTTTTAAGACGGAGATTAAAACCAGTTTTAAAGTAAAAGCTTAATTATTTTTACTTACAACAGTTTCGTTCATCTGCTCCATTGAAACAGTCTTTAACAGTATTACATCTTTTGTCCTCATCAACACACTGCTTATTACCGCAGAAAAACTGCCCTTGTGCACAATAGTCTATAAAGGTAGAAAAATATGAAGTCAAATAAAAAAAAGACTCTTAAAAATACAACTTTAGTTTCGCATCTGTGTTTGGATTAGCACAAGATACTGGTAACGTGTTTTAACTTTTAGAAAAAAAAACTTATAGGAAAGTGAACAATGTCGAAAAATACAGCTAATTGCCTGAAAGTAAATTCGGATTTGTGAACAAGAAATAACAAGAAAGACGTGATTGCAAAGTGGAATCTCGCGATGGATTTTCTGTTTATCTTGGACTGGGAACACGAACTAGGTATTGACTACTGCAGAAACAGAAGCGGTATAATAATTATCTCGGAGCGGTACCTCATAGGAATGCCTACAACTCTAAGAGACTATTGCACACAGGGATGTTGCCAAAGTAGGTACTACACACTGCCTGGAAAATGAGTTACCATCAACTAAAAAAACAAACAAAAAACAACAACAACATCCATACCCAAGTAGATCAACAGAAAAACATAACATCAAAAAGTATCAAACTAACAGAAGTATAAAAGCCCCCCTGATCCACGATGAAAGGGCCCCTGCCAAGAGTTAGGATCATTCTTTACTCCAGTGACTACTTCTCCTCCTACTCATCTTCTCATTCGAATCATGTTGAAACTAAACCACAACTACTGCTATCAAGTTCAGAATCTTTTACAAATTTCTTGTTGACTGTTGTATGGACTCCAAAAGGGTTTATATCGAAAGAATTAATTGAAATGAAAGATTTTGGGAAACTGTTATGTTTCCTAAGCATACGGAATGTTTACTTCCAGAACTAGCAATCCCTAGATTGTCCTGAAGCATGGAAATCAGAGAACCTTTCTCTGTATAAAAAAAATATTAAAAATGAAAACAAAAACCCCGATCATACAAAGAAACAAATAAAGATGCAAAAACACATTCAGTTAAATTACTTGTAAAATGTTGCGGCTTATCAGCATAATGTACTTCGTGATGCAATGTTTTGTGTTACATTTTATTTCATGAGATAATTAAAAAAAATAACGTAACATTTTTAACTTTCCTTGTTTGTATGGCAAATATGCTTTTGGTCAAGATTTTCGCATTATCTCATTTTGATTAGTTCAGTTTTAGGTTTTTAATGGAAATGTACTATTAATTAATTTCCTGCCAATACGTGTATTGTTGTTATACGTTAAAATTAACCATCTTCAAGATTGTTTTTTACTCTGTTGTTACTGGATGAGTAAATACTTGAAAACTATTTTATGATGTTCCGTTCATAATATTTTCATACAGAAAGTCAATGTTTATATTCCTTTACAAGTTTTCTTTTTACGAGTAAACTGTAACGGAAAATAACTTTTATTTCTTATTTTCAAGCCTATTCACAAAAAGACGGTCAACAGTTTAACACATGTTATGATGTGTTATATAAATACGTGAAAGAAATCCTTATCAGGATTGTTGTTAGGCTAATATTGAGTAAATTGATCTAGTCAACATAGAGTTTGTGGTTGTTATCATACTAGCCTTTTGTATGTTTCTGTGAATAAAAATTAATAACAAAAGGAAATAGTTCTGAAAACAAAATGAAATAGAGAAAAACAGAGGTATTTTTATTACGGACTATTCATTTGCCCACTAAATATCTAAAACTACATAGCAGTAAGTATTTTGCTGGTTAGTGATCAATAATACTTTACACATTTAAAGGTCAACTCCATTTCTCTAGTTGGCCCGGCATGGCCAGGTGGTTAAGGCACTCGACTCGCAATCTGAGGGTCTCGGGATCGAATCCCTGTCACACCACACATGCTCACCCTTTCAGCCGTGGGGACGTTATAATGTGACGGTCAATCCCACTATTCGTTGGTAAAAGAGTAGCCCAATAGTTGGCGGTGGGTAGTGATGACTAGCTGCCTTCCCTCTAGCCTTACACTGCTAAATTAGGGACGGCTAGCGCAGATAGCCCTCGTGTAGCTTTGCGCGAAATTCAAAAACAAACAAACAATCCATTTCTCTAGTAGCCAAGGGAACGTGGTCCTGTTTCGGTAGATTTCGTACACGTAATAATTAGAAACATAAGCTGGTCTTAGTTTCTACAATATGTTTAAACGCGATAAATTTATACTCCTATTGTTTGTGTAAATAAGCCTCCCAGTGGCACAACGGTATGTCTGCGGACTTACAAAGCTAGAAACCAGGTTACGATACCCGTGATGGGCAAAGCACAAATAGACCAATGTGTAGCTTTCTGCTTAATTACAAACAAACAAATACTGTAAATAAATATATGCCTTTCGTTAAATCATGTGGTCTGTGGATGTAGTTGTACGTGTAAAATAAGTCAAGAAAATAACTGTCATTTAGTAGAAGTGACTATCTGAATTATGCCACAGACACTTTTTTATATATACGTATGTCTGTACCTGCACAACACTTGAAAATAACGATCGTAGTTGAATTGTCCAAAATTTAATGGTTACACTGAAGACAAATTGGGAAAGCAAATTGATAAATTTTACCGAAAAAACACAAACAATTAATTCAACGATTTCAAAGATCAGGCAAGATCCACTTTAACGTATATCTACAAATCTGAGTTTTAATAATCTATCATTACAAATGGCCAAAGTTATTTAATCCAGCCAAGTTTACTTTAAATTAAGGTTCTTGCTTTGTCTACAATTTCCACACCGCCTCACAATGTTTGTAATTTATGAAAAACTTACCACATGAAGATTCGTCTGAAAAATCAGGGCAGTCGACCACTCCATCGCAAAGTTTGCCAGCTTGGCCTCTGGCTTTAAGCTCATTAGCACAACCTGAAAAATACATTAAGGTATATAAATACATATTTTTGTTGGTATTTACTCGTGTCTTTCGTAGCCATATTTAAAAACAATAAAACACTGCAGAACTTAAAAAACTCAACACGATAGAAATTAGATGGATCATGAAAGATATTCTGAGCATATAACAAAACGGATAATTCCAGAATTTATTAGGAAAATAATATGATCAAAAAGAAACGTCATTAGTGAAATTCTAGACATTTCCTTTTTTGATCATATTATTTTCCTAATCAATTCTGGAATTATCCGTTTTGTTATATGCTCAGAATATCTTTCATGATCCATCT